ATCGTTAAAAGTATGCCCAGACTTTTTATGCTCAGTATATTTTTGTACGAATGCATGTATGTACATCAAAAATATGGTATATAAATTTGTAGTTTCGATTTTCATTTTTTTTGAGGGTGCAGCACAGTGATTGATGGAACTTAAGGTACTCTCTATCATGCTTCAGTTTTTCAGCCTACGCCCACAACTCGGTTAGCGAATGTCGGAAATGTTTAAATATTCCTAAAGATATGATGTTGTTTTCTTACAGAAAACTGCATATTAAAGAAGAGGTAAGAACAATATTGTAATTTTATTATATTTCTATACCCAATATTCAAATTCTAGTACATTTTTTACAGGTAATGAAGACATTTCTAAAAACACCTCCATGCTGACCTTAAAAACCAACATCACACCAATGCTGACCTTAAAAACCAATCTCAAATTTTGTCCTTTTTTTTTGAAAGCCATCCCCATAAAAATTCAGAAATCTATCTATATCTTTGCACGCATTTTAATATATTCTTGTAGTACTTATTTCCAAAACTACCTTCATTTCCCAATGCCATACACCAGAAGTAATCTAAATTCCAAAATTTCAGGATTACAGGAATATCGGTTCACCCAAATAGTAATCTCAATTCCAAATTTCAGGATGCCAACTCTTTCGGTTAAAATTTCCAGCTTTATCGGTTCGAATTTTCAAAACTACCAACATACAATCCAATGGCAATCTTAGTACCAAATTTTAGGCTTCCAGCTCTATCGAATAACCCAAATCAAAATTTAGTACCATTAAGTACTTTTTGTGCAAAATATTACAACTCTCCAAGTTTATATAAAATCATACAATCCAATAGATTTTTTTTTTGTTTTAATTTCAGTATTCCGTTCATTCATTCCATATATATCATATTTCAAGATTTCAGCTCTATCGGTTTACCTATACCGAAATTTAGTACCATTAAGTACTTTTTGTGACCATAAGTACAAATTTCCAAATCTATCTTCAATCATAAAATCCAATAGATTTTTTGTTCTAATTTTATGCTGCCAGCTCCAATTCTGACCCCGTAACCAAAATTCAGAAATCTATCTCTATTCGGTACTAAATTTGGTACCAAAAATTATATTTTGTACTCTTTTAGTACTTATTTCAGAAACTATCTTCATATCACAATCCTAAACTCCCATAGTAATCCTTATTTCAAATTTCAGGATTCTAGCCCTATCAGTTCACCAAAATTTAGTACAAGTTAGTACACACAAGTACGAATTTCCAAAAGTAACTTCATATCCCAATCCTACACTCCAATAGTAATCTTAATATCCAATTTCAGGTGTTGGTAATTCGGGCACCGCAGGCGTTATTAGTCTTAGACCTTCCAGAGTGCAACAGTTATAATTATAAATGCAGAACAAAATCTGAGGTGTACTTCAAATTGTCTCCCAATTTATAAATCACCTAAAAATCCTCGCATTTTAGGTCTCGGCCATTGTCTTCACTATTTTATAAAATAAAAAATAATTAAAACAATCCAGTTGTCGGGTCACCCTCAAAAAAAATAACCCATGGCTCCATAAAAAATACACCAGCTTTAATACCCACGAAAAAATACGAGGCTTTTAAGCATCCACTAAAAACAATTTCAGGCCTAGTGGGTTTCTGGAAAAGAAATTCTTGTACGCATCCTTGAAAAAAATATATCAGTGCCTTGTAGGCTCCACCTGATTATCCTTTTAGACGTTAAAAATACAATCCGAGTCATTTGGCAGTCCTTGAAAAAAGTAGAGGCGTACTTAGAAAATAGCCAGGCTTTCTATGGCATCTTTAAAAAATTATCCTTGCATGCCTCCTTGAAAGAAAACATCCTAGACTCCTTGAAAATAACCCAGTCCCAGTGGACTTCCTTGAAAAATATCCATATCTATTCAGACCTAGTATGCCTCCTTGGATAGATATCCAGCCTCGGTAAGTCAACCCCTTAAAAAAGGCTTCATAAAAAACACAAAAGCTTTAAATACATCAATGAAAAATATCCAGCACCCCTGTAATGCTCAATGAAAAAATAAAAAACTATTAAGTGTTCGTAAACAAAAGGTTCAGGCCTTGTGTGCCTCCTTGAAAAAATATAGGCACGGTATACCTCCTAGAAAAATACCTACGCCCTGAAGGTCTCCTTAAAAAATAGCCAGGTCTTCTATGAAATCTTTAAAATTATACAGGCCTTGCATGTCTCCTTGCAAAAAAAAATCCAGAACTTGTGACTTCCTTGAAAAACCCCCATTCTTGGTAGACTTCCTTTGCATAATGTCCATAACTATTCAGACCTTGTATGCCTCGTTGGAATGATATCCAGCCTCGGTAATGCTCCCCTTGAAAAAGTTCCCAGCAAGACTCCATAAAAATACACAAGCTTTAAAAACGTATCTGCAAAATATCGAGCCCCCTGTAATCCTCAATAAAAAATACAAGCCTATTAAGCGTTCATGAACAACAGATCCAAAAAAAAAAACAAGTAAAAAACCGTTAAGTTTGGCCGGGCCGAACGTTGGATACCCTCCTCCATAGAAATATTGACAAATTTTTGAATGAAAACATAGGGAACATACATATAACGACAATTCTTCCAATCGATTGTTGTAAACCAGATAGAAAATTCAGTATATAGTATAATTATAAAAAAGGGGACTACCCCTAAAAGGGGGTGAATATTAATAATTTTTGGTATGGAGATTTGTTATCATATACGACTACAAAATACCAAATTACAGTGAATTCGGTTGAAAACCGTGCTAAAGAACCCCAAAATACCGAAAATTGGAGGGTACCCTTATATGGGGGCTACTCGAAAAATTGACCTATATTTATAATTTTTAGTGGAGAGATTTGCTACGCAATAAGAACTCAAAGTGCCAAATTTCAGCGAATTCGGTTGAAAAACGGGCTTAAGAACGCCAAAATACCAAAAATTGGGGGTACCTTTACATGAGGTCTACCCGAAAAAATGGACCTATATTTATCATTTTGGGATTTGATACCCAATAAGAACTTTAAGTACTAAATTACAGTCAATTCGGTGAAAAAATCCGCACAAAACCCCCCAAAGACTGAAAATTAGGAGGTAACATTATATGGGCGCTACCAGAAAACGTGGACCTATATTTATAATTTTTAATGGTGAAATTTGGTATTCAAAAAGAACCCATTTTACCAAATTTCAGGGAATTCGGTTGAAAAACGCGCTTAAGAACCCCAAAATACTGAAAATGTGGGGGTACCCTTATATGGGAGCTATGTCTAAACGTGGACCGATATAGCCCATCTTCGAACTTGACCTGCCTGCAGACAAAATACGACTCTATGCAAAATTTTGGCGTTCTATCTCAATTCGTTTAGACGCTAGAGTGATTACATCAGACAGACGGATAGACGGACATGGTTAGATCGTCATAGAATTTTACGCTGATGAAGAATATAAATACTTTATAGGGTCGGAAATGATTATTTCGATGCGTTACAAACGGAAAAACAAAACTAATATACCCTCCATACTATGGTGGAGAGTATAAAAATACGGAACTTGTATGTTTCCTGAAAGAATATCAATGCCTTGAAGAATATCGAGGCCTAGCCTCATTAACAAAACATTCCAGACCATTTTGTCCTCCTTAAAAAATGCAAGTCTCTTTAAGATATGCAGGCCTTGTAGGTCTCCTTGAATTAATATCCAGGTCTTGAAGACATCCTAAAAAAATACCCTGGCCTACTATGACATCTTGCAATTTGTAGGTCTCCTAAGAAAAATACCCAGTTCTGGTACACTTCCTTGAAAAATATCCAGGCTTTGAAGGCCTCTTTGAAAAAATATTCAAACCTCTTATGCCTCCGGTAAGGCTTCTTTTATCCCTGAAAAACACTTCTTTTATACATTGCATTTCGCATTTACATCGAAATAATTTGGAAAATACACAATGCAGTGTCTAAAATAAAGACACAATGGAATCCAAAAGTAATCACTATCGAGTGAGTGTAGGCACGACGAAAACAGTACTCTAACGCTTGCAAAATTAACAACCACCAAGTGTGGTGAGAGGTGGAGTACGTTACAAAAAACAAAAAAAAAAATCGGGAGGACAATGAGTGGTGGCGTTTTTTTTTCTTAGGAGGAAAACATTTGTTTTTTTTCAAAAGAAAGACAGAGAGAGTGATAGGAAAAGATGAGCGCAAATAGTGATAAAGTTGATAAAAATAGGAAAATAATTTTTTTTATATTAATGAAATGTTTATATTTTTGGCCAAAATAGTTCCTTTCTCATGATTACAATTATACATATATATCTAACTATGAATTAAATTATGAACATATTCATTAAAAAAAGGTTCTCTGTGTATATGGGGGCTATGTCAAAACATGGACCTACATTAATAATTATATGTATGTCAGACTTCAAGATCCCTTTGTGGCAGATTAGAAGAATAGTTTATTGTCCCTTTATCCTTTTCTGATTTATTCTCAGTTTTAACAATCACTGTGCTGGCACCATCTGATGCTGGTTATTCAATAGTAAAATAAAGAAAATCGAATGAATTATCAGCGGTGAAGTGTGATCTGGTAAAGATAGCGTATGTGAGTGTGGGTGGGTGGGTGTGTCGACAATAGAGATTGAGATTCGAAAAGTGTGTATCTAATGGGTGACAGGGTGTGGACAAGTGACAAGTGTTTGCAGTTGAGATAAGATTCTGTTTGTGGAAAAAACGCATGTGTCATAGTGAGGATTTTGTGCGCTTCAAAGTGACTTTACATTGTATGCAATAGTGTAAGTAGTGGTAGTCAAGTGGGTGACTATAAAAATTGGATTTGATACGTTGGTTTTTTACATTCTAAAGAAAAAATATAAAAAAATACCCAAGGACTAGAGAACAAGATAAAAACAGTCATTATTATTGTTATGCGGTTCGATTGGAGGTTAGCATTAAAGAGGAATAGAGGGATGGGAGGAGGAGGTTGTATTAATTAAACAGAGGTTGTCATTTGCTCCACATAGGTCATTGGTCTCGATAGCGATTGTGAACGTTTTAATTTACATTTCGGCATTGTTGCTGACTGGTGTGCCGCTGGTCCTGTGGATGACAATTTGCTGCCAACTAAATTCGAATTACCGGAACTTTGTGCCAATTTTTGCAGATTGTGACAGGAACAATTGTGATTTGATGTTGATTGTAAATTATGAGATGATGGCGGCAGTAGAGCTTGCTGATGATGACGTGGTACATAAATATATTCTCGAGAGGGCTGGCTGGTAGGTTTACATTTACACTGCTGGGACATGGTCGAGAGGCCTTCGGGTACACTTTGACTTTTACAGTTGCTGAAATAGCTTGAGGGACTGCAGGTGCAGAGCAGGGGCTGGGTGGAATCCATTCTGGAAAAGAGAGAGGAATTTTAGAAAATTTGAAAAAGGAAATATTTCAAAATTTACCTCAAATCCCTGTGGGACCACTGGACATTGGCCTGACACTGCAGCTGGAACTGATTAGCACCACAACAATTGGCATTTTGGATAAAGGATAGGCTACGCCTTAAATAACTCCCTGTGCCATTGTCATAGACATAGGGATAACGATGATGATGGTGATCATCCAAGTCACCGCCACCACCCGCCGCCATGTGATGATGCTGTAATTGATTCTGCGGCAAATTGGCCAAGGCTCCACAATGTCTCCGCTGATGCAGCGGCGTATGATAATTACACATATTTCTCACGGGGCCACACAGACACGAAGCACTCTCACCCAATTGATTTAGACTTATACAGCTACGATTTAATAGGTCAGGAGCCGGATAATCACAGCCATTGCTTTTCGGATAGTCCACCGTAAAGGCAGGTTGATATTTATTTCGCACATATTGGGTGGACATAGAACGCAAGCGAGGAGCGGCGGGTACAATACTGCCATTTTCCTGGGAACGTTGTGAGGGATTTTGATGGCTATAGGAGGAGTAGCCAATGAAGAAAATGATAATGGCTGCAATTGCTGCTGCCGCCGAACAGATGTAATAACCCGCTCGGCCATATTTCGGTGAATAATCATTGAGGAAAATTGTCAGCGGAACACTGATCAATACAGGAATGGCCTCAATGCCACGGATAAATGACCAGGTTTTGGAAAATTTCAATTTCACCTTTTCCAGCACCAACATTTTCAGTGAGAAGCGGAAGCCACCAAAACCCACGCCATAGATGCCTGACAGGATGCAAAGGCTTTTATAGCCCATCATAAAGGACATGAAGAGTATCGAAAGGGCCACTGCCGCAAGGAAGACCTGTAATGGAGGAAAAAAGTTATTAATTCCGATAATTATTCTCGCCAATCGGAAATCCTCACCTGTGATATAATCGGTGTGGATATGACAAAATTCTGCACCACAAATGGCCTTCGTATCAGCACGCCAGCCAAAACCACGCCCAGGGTGGTGGACATGCCCAGCATGGTTTGCAGTAATACCAGTTCCTGGACATCGGAACCCTCCTTGGCGGCATTTAGGGACTAAAAAGATAAATTTGGTAATTTTTTTTGAAGGAAAATAAAAATCCATGACACTTACCATGGTAAACATGGGTGTGTAAATACCCAAGGCAGCCACCGCCGATGTTAATAATAAAATTTTCACAGTACCCGATTTTAGATTTGATATGTCTTGTATGATTTTCTTTATAATATTGGGTTCCGCAGGGATATTATTGGTCTTGTGATCACGTAGCTGGAAAATACAAACAAACAACAAATCAAAAATTGCTCCCGATTCCTAAATCATCATCTTCCCCCTTACCTTCTTCCTTTGATTCTTCAAATGTTGTATGGCTCTACGCTGCGGATGATATAACGAAGCTGGCCTATACAGCAGGCCCACAAAAAAACTAATTGATGTTAAGGCCGCCACAATTTGTAAACCACTACGCCAACCCATTTTTCTAAAAATAATTTTTCAACATTAATTTCTAAGTACCCCAAAAAATTAATTTTCCCCAACTTACCCCACCCCCTCTTTAAGCAGCACCGAAAATAAAGCTATACCCACACCTTCACCTGACATCGCCACCATTTCCACAAATAATCGCCGCTTTTTAAAATAATTACCCAACATTATAGTGGAAGTCTCTCGCACCATCGATACACCGATGCCAAAGACAAAACCTACAACAACAACAACAGAAATGGTTAGGGTGCTGGACGTCAAAGTGGTAAAATAAATTGACAACGATTAGCTTACCATAGCTGAATATTACTTGGTCAACTTCTGTGGCAAATGAGGTAAACAATATGCCAAGGGAGAGGACGAGGCCACCAACCACAGCCAGCAGTCGTGTTGATTTACGGCGACACAGTGTTTCCACAAATGGGGCAACCAGCATGGATATTGACCAACTTAAAGCACCAAGCCATTCTAAAAGAGATAATAGAGGGAAATGGAATATATTTTTCAGAGCCTATATGAGGCGTGGATTTTTTAAAGAATATTTTTTTCAAGGCCTATATGAGGCGTGGATTTTTTAGAGAATATTTTTTCAATGCCTATATGAGGCGTGGATTTTTTAAAGAATATTTTTTTCAAGGCCTATATGAGGCGTGGATTTTTTAAAGAATATTTTTTTCAAGGCCTATCCAAGGCGTGGATTTTTTAAAGAATATTTTTTTCAAGGCCTATCTATTCTTTAAAAAAATATTTTTTTCAAGGTCTATCCAAGGCGTGGATTTTTTAAAGAATATTTTTTTCAAGGCCTATATGAGGCGTGGATTTTTTAAAGAATATTTTTTTCAAGGCCTATATGAGGCGTGGATTTTTTAAAGAATATTTTTTTCAAGGCCTATATGAGGCGTGGATTTTTTAAAGAATATTTTTTCAAGGCCTATATGAGGCGTGGATTTTTTAAAGAATATTTTTTTCAAGGCCTATCCAAGGAGTGGATTTTTTAAAGAATATTTTTTTCAAGGCCTATATGAGGCGTGGATTTTTTAAAGAATATTTTTTTCAGAACCTATATGAGGCGTGGATTTTTTAAAGAATATTTTTTTTTCAGAACCTATATGAGGCGTGGATTTTTTAAAGAATATTTTTTTCAAGGCCTATATGAGGCGTGGATTTTTTAAAGAATATTTTTTTCAAGGCCTATATGAGGCGTGGATTTTTTAAAGAATATTTTTTTCAGGGCCTATATGAGGCGTGGATTTTTTAAAGAATATTTTTTCAGGGCCTATATGAGGCGTGGATTTTTTAAAGAATATTTTTTCAGGGCCTATATGAGGCGTGGATTTTTTAAAGAATATTTTTTTCGGGGCCTATATGAGGCGTGGATTTTTTAAAGAATATTTTTTTCAAGGCCTATATGAGGCGTGGATTTTTTAAAGATTAATTTTTTCAAGGCCTATATGAGGCGTGGATTTTTTCAAGAATATTTTTTTTAAAGGCCTATATGAGGCGTGGAATTTTTAAAGAATATTTTTTTCAGGACATCTTTCAGTTGTTAAAATCCAAGCTTCTTTTCATTTCACTTACCATTCCCACTGGCATTTCGTATATGATGCACCGCATAGAACAATGTCAGACCATAGGATAATTGTAGACCCGTCGTCAGGATATGTATCAAAAAGGACATGCCACAAATGATCCAACCCCAACCACCATCCGGATAGAAATGTTGACGTATCCCGGTCGTATCGACACCCGTACGCCTTAAAGCTGGTATATTACGATGTAGTAGATAAAATTCCTGATCCCGTAGGCCAGGAAAACCTGAATCTTGATCTTCAAATTGATGGACACAGCTGTCGGGACCTAGAGGAAAAAATGCCACATAGTAAAAGAATACCCGAATGCTTGCAGATATCCAATCTACTCACCATAATACAGATTATGATTACAACCCCGATTGGTGTTCGCTGCTGCTGCTGCCGCACCAGCCGTTGCAGCATGCATGCCAACATGATGATGCGATGGTGGTGGCGCCAGTGTTTCCCTTGGTGCTCTAGTAACCTGTTGATGATATAATTTGCCACACATGCAAGAGGGTGTCTGCATTTTATGGTCTATATTATAGGAACTACAACATGTAGAGTATTGTTGTTGCTGGTGCTGCTGATGGCTGGGAAGCAGATGTTGCTGTGGATGCGGATGATGTGTGTGATATTGTTGTTGCTGTGTTAGTAGCTGTTGTTGTTGTTTGGTATGTCGTCGACATGTGGAACCATAGTTGGAGCTGGGGACATGTGTAGAACTGCCACCACCGCCAACACCATAATTATCATAAAGATCTAATCCTGACAATCCGCTTATCGAACGATGATGATGTGGCCTTATAACGGGAGGTGGTGGAGGTGATGGCGTTGCTGTGCTGGCAATGGTCGAGGCATTGGTATTTAATGTGTTGGCGGCGGCGCTGGCAGTGGTAATAGTGGCTTTGGAATACGATTGATTTGCCATGACAGATTGTTGGCCAGGATTTGGAATGCCAGCCGAGGATGATGGGATGACACCTGTCGTTGAGGAGGGTTTGAGGACAGGTTTGGGCAGCATTGTTGCTGTATTGGTAGTGACACTCACTTCAGGTCGTAACGAATTTAAATTGTTGTGGGCTCTCATTTCGTTGTTGTTGTTGTTGCTGATACTACTATTGTTATTGTTGTTGCTACTGTGGTTGTGATTTACATTTACATTGGCATTTAGTGGTTGTTGTTGCTGTTGCATTGCTAGGAATTGTGCCGTGGTATTGGTATACTCCTTGAGACTTTGTGTGGAACCTTGTTGTTGGTGGGCTAGACGAGGACACGATACCCACCAAACCACCGGCTGATCATTGAAACGGCAATTTTCACATAGAATCCTTTCGGTTTGGAAAGCCGCAGCCGTGGCACTGGACACCGTCTGAATGTGGTCAGCGGCCGTTGACGATTTCTTTTTTGTCGGCAATTCAGGATTGGCAAATTTTTTTGGTGGCAACAGTGGTGGTATCTCTTCTACTTTTTCTGTTTCGGCTGCTGCTGGAGGTGCTGGAGGATGTTCACAACTAAGGTTATACCTTCGTCACACTGCACATTTGTTGCACAGGATGAGCTTTTTATTGGCTAATAATTGTCGGCGATGACCCTTATCGAATGCCGATGATCTTCTTAGTTCCTGTTCCGAACTGGTGCGTAACGTTGTTGGTTGGGTGCCACCACAGAGCAGTGATTGTTGCTGTAGCTGGTGTTGCGTGCTGTCGCCGTCGTTCCCGTTGCCGCTGCCGTATAATGTCAATGGTTTCCTAATTGCACTATAGAGGTTTCTGGGCAAACTACGATATTGCGTCAATTGGGGGCAGCTACTACTGTACAGGGAGGAGGGTGAGTTTGTCGTTGTATTGTCCGCTGGCTGGTCACCACTGTCACCAGTGGCCATTATCTCATGGCCCAAATGACAATTGTGGAGAGTGCACTGCTGAGTGGTTGTGGCAGTCGATGCAGTTGGTTGTAAGTTGTTGTCAGCACCACATTTATATTGACATGTGGCATAAAATTTCATTGTTTATTCGAACGATTCAGCAGCAGCAGGAGGATGGATGGTTGGCCCAGAAATCCTTGATTTAATGGAAACGGTGTTGGTGGCGGCGGAGGTTTGACAATTGTAACGACTGTACGACTCCCGTCCGCTGTCGATGATGATGATGTGGATGATGTCTCCGCCCTCGTCCTCGTCGTCTTCGTCGCAATAGTGTTGGATAGAAGTGCTTACCACACAGTACAGCAGTGGGCAGGATGTTTGCATACAGAACTTTGCAACGTTCGGCAACGAAAACGACTTTCATCATTTATCGTAGCACTCAGCCATAATGCAATAGTTTCTACAATGAACAAAAATTAAAAATTAATTACATTTTAATTTGCTTTGAATGGGGGGTTTGTTTTTTGGGTTTTCTGCGGAACCGACACCATCACCACGTTCTCAGCCTTAACCAACATTTAACAGAGCGCGAGAGAGAGAGAGAGATAGCGAAAACAACGGAAATCATATGTCTGGGTTTTCTTCGAAACACATTTATGGCGAAAACTACATTTCAAATTAAAATATTTCTTTTAAGACTTAAGACACTTGAGTGCTGTAGAAATATATTAGGGAGGAACAGATTATTTTGAAACCACAGAAAAAATTATTCAAAATTTAAATAATTTTCAAAGCTCTATCGTCGATTTTTCAATATTTTGTCAAGGACTATTAGACTTCTAAGCGTGTGTTTTTAAGTATGTTGTTCAAGGAATTTAGAGCACTAATGGCGGATTTTTTCATGGACCAAAGGACCTCGAATTGTGGATTTTTAAATAATGCTTTTTAATTACTGCCAGAGCTCTAAGCGTGGATTTTTAAATAATATTTTTAGAGGATCAAAATACCACAAAGCGTATATTTTTAAATATATTTTTTAGAGGATCAAAATACCACAAAGCGTATATTTTTAAATATATATTTTATACATATATTTTTTCATAGATTAAAATATTTCTAAGCGTGGATATTTAAATATATATTTTTTCAGAATACCTCTACGCGTGGATTTGTATAGCCTTCACCGCACTGTGGTACAGGATATTATGTCTTTGTGTATATGTTTATAACAGGCAAAAGGAATCGAGATAGACCCATGGTTCCTTTTGAGAATATGCATAGAATCTGAGTCGATTTACGCATGTCCGTCCGTCCGTCCATGTATTTTTGTGAACAAAGTACGATTTAAGCGTACTAAATTAAGCCTAGAATGATGTGTGCAAAGTTTCGTAAAAATCGAAATCGACTTGATCTTTTCAACGTATTCCTGGCCTTCTCCTTCTTCGCCAACCATCAGCTGGTTCACTTTTATATGTCATCCATTCTCACAACATGGCCTAGCCAACGTAGTCGCTGCAGCTCAATACGTCTAACAATGTCGATGTCCGAGAATAGCTGGTACAACTCATGGTTCAATCGACGGCGATATTCACCATCAACGCAGATCGGCCCATCGATCTTTCGCAGATTTTTCTTTCAAACACTCCAAGAGCTGCCTCATCTGCTTGCGTAAGTACCCATGCTTCAGATCCGTATAACAGCACGGGTAGTATCAGCGTCTTATAGAGTGTGAGTTTGGTCTGGCGGGAGGTGGCCTTGCTTCTGAGATGTTTGCTCAGACCATAGTAGCATCAGTTGGCCATTACTATCCTTCTCCGAATTTCAAAACTGATGTCATTCGTTTTGTTTATGGCGGTACCAAGGTATATAAAATCTTTGACTACCTCGAAGCTGTAGTTTCAAGTTCCACAGTTCGTCCGAGTCTACTGGACGTCTTGCGCATTGTTACCATCAGGTTGGTCTTCTCGCCGTTTACCTCCAACCCCACTTTGGCAAACTTCTTCTTAATTTGTTCAAAGGTGGCTGTTACCACTCTCAATGTTCGACCCAATATGTCGATGTCATCGGCGTAGGCGAGTAACATGTGTTGTTTGGTGTAAAGAGTTCCATTTCTGTTCACCTTTGCCTCTCGTATGACCTTTTCCAGCAGGATGTTAAAAAGGTCACACGACAAACTGTCACCTTGTCTGAATCCTCGTTCGGTACTAAAAGGCTCCGCGAGGTCCTTTCCGACTTTTACTGCTGATCTTGTATCTGTTAAAGTTATCCTGCATAGCCGAATTAATTTTGCAGGAATGCCGAACACATACATGGCTTTAAACATCTCTGAACGGATAGGACTGTCGAATGCGGCTTTATAGTCGACGAATAGGTGGAATGTGTCGATGTGTTTTCGTGGGTTTTTTTCCAGGATTTGGCGCAGAGTGAAAATCTAGTCAATGGTGGATTTGCCAGGTCTGAAGCCACATTGGTGTGGTCCAATAATGTCCATTGACCATTGGTTTCAGTCTTTCATACAGTACGCTGGATAGCACTTTATATGCGATTGGAAGGAGACTTATTCCTCTATACTTGGCATGGGGGATGATAGATACCAAACAACGGCTCTGATTGGCTTTAACATGGCGAAGCCCAGGCTTATATTGGTCCCTCTTTCATCTCAATTGTGGGCACTGACCTACCCGCGGTGCCACCCGTATAAAAGACCCACATCTGTATTTATTAAACTAAATATTCTTTAATAAATACACGCCTCTAATAGTCTTTGAAATTTTTTCTTTAATAAATCCAAGTCTCTGATAGTCCTTGAAAAAATTTTTTAAACCTACGCATCTAATAGTCCTTAAGAAATATTCTTTAAAGATCCAAGCCTCCAATAGTCTCAGAAAGAAATATTCTTTAAAAAAAATTCAAGTCTCTGATAGACCTTGTAAAAATATTCTTTAAAAAAATCCACGCCTCTGATAATCTTTGAAAAATATTCGTTAATAAATCAACTTTTCTGATAAACCTTGAAAAAAATATTCTTTAAAAATCCAAGCTTCTGATAGTCATTGAAAAAAATCTTAAAAAAAAATCCACGCCTCTGATAGTCCTTGAAAAAATATTCTTCAATAAATTCACGCCTCTGATAGTCCTTGAAATTGTTTTTTTATAAAATCCACTCCTAGGACATTTTTTCTAGATCGTTTATATTATTATTGTTTTCTAATTATAAAATTCCCTAACTGTAATATTATTTCATTTATTTCCAAATTACTTTCAAATATTATGACATTTTTATATTGCCTTTATTTGTTTTTCGATTATTTACTGCCTGACATAAATAAAACTATCTTCATTAAAGGTATTCTCCTACCCCCGCTAAAGGTATGTAAGTGTAAGGCATTCCATTCCACTCCACTTCCCTTCCTTCCTTTTAATATCATCCAATATCATTGGATTACCCTGTCTGATTTTTCATTTCGTTGTATTTATCACACAAGTATTTGATTGAAAATAAAGCTGTATTTTATTGAGGCTTTCAATGGGCAAGGAGGAGGGACAGTCTCCTACTCTGCCCACCACCCCGACAACAATGCTGCACTGCATTGGAAATACAAAAACACTCACACAAACACCCAGAAGAACAGGAAAGGGACAATAGCCAGCCGTGTTGCAGTTATCACCGCAATAGTTGGCTGCCATTGTGTGTGTGTAACAACCAAAGAAATGTTGATATCAAATGAAATTTATTTCCAGAGTTTTAAAATATTTGTCATACGGATTAAGTTCTGCAGGGCATGATGTGAATGGATGTGTGGGACAGACAATTGTAGGATGGCAGGATGGGCAAATGAAACTGACAGGCAGACGAACGGGAGGAGTACAAGAATACTTGTACAATTCCTAAGATACATTATTTGTTAACTCTGACAATAATTGTTTTCGGTAGATTTTTTTGTTCCTCCCACTCGTTTTCTATATTTTTGCCATTCGTTCTGGAGTATTTCTTTTGTTGTAGCTGGTGTGTGCGTGATCTTCTTTTTTTTTCTAGCTTCCTTGTATATCAACTACTATTATTAGTTGTAGGGGTACTCTCTTGGAAAATGTTTGCAACAGCACGTAGCAGGAACATCATGATGGCCACAAGCTGGAGTACAAGCACCGCCAGGCAGTCATGCACCATTCCAACCTACATCTGTAGCAAAAGGCATCCAGAGTTGGAGCTAAAAATGTCGAATGAATGAATATCTTTTTGCTCTTGGTTAATTCTTGTTTTTTTTTTTGCTATGGAATTCTTGTTGTTACCCACTAACCGAAAAAATATGTAACCCTTTTTACCCGGCATTTTACACGAGAGTAGAACAGTCTACTGTCTCAGCTAGAGCTGGTGAAAAAAAAACAAACCTATTCACTTCATTCTGTTGCCAATACTAACTGTTGTTAGGGATACTACTACTGACACGCTTGAGTGAACAGTGGTTTAAATTAATTTTTTAAAAATATTTTTAAATATTTTCATAGGTGTGGATTTTTTAAAAGTATTTTTGAAGTATTCAAATTGGCGTGGATATTTTTAAAAGTATTTTTGAAGTATTCAAATTGGCGTGGATATTTTTAAAAGTATTTTTTAAAGTATTTTTTAAAGTATTTTTTCACGTATTTTCATACGCTTGGTTTTTTATACCATTCACCACACTGTAGTACAGGGTATTATGTCTTTGTGCATAAATTGTGAACAAAGTACAGGTCGCATTTTTGATTCGAATTGGATGAAATTTGGCACAGCTCATTTATTTGGCCCAAAGACGAACCCTATTGAAATTGAAAATCGGTTCAGATTTAGATATAGCTCCCATATATATTTTCGTCCGATTTTATGTAAATGGTGCACCAAAGTCCCTATATGTCTTCCGATTTGCACGAAATTTGGCATAACGTACTAAATTTAGCCTAGAGTGATGTCTGCCAAGTTTCGTGAAAATCTGTCCAGATTTATATATAGCTCTCACATATAGTTTCGTCCGATTTTTTATAAATGGTACAAAAAAGTCCCTATATATCTTTCGATTTGCACGAAATTTGGCATATCAAACTGAATTGAGCCTAGAGTGATGTCTGCCAAGTTTCGTGAAAATCGGTTTAGATTTCGATATAGC